ATTTTCCCCCCGGGGGGGGGGGGGGGGGGGGGGGGGGGGAGGTCTTTGGCTCCTGTAAGAAAAGTGTAAGAAAGGGGGGGGGGGTCTTGAACTAGTGTAATATTACACTTTTGTGAGGCGAAAAAATATTTTTGACATAATGATGAACTCTGCATTAAAATTTGTTGATGATAACTAATTTCCCTTTTTTTTTCTCCACCATAAATGATCAGTAAGAACAGAGATGCAGTGGAATCCTGATAAAGTCAACTTGCTTAAAGTCAACTCTTGCTTACAGTCAACACCTCACTGCAGTCTCGTTTCTTACCTTCTTTGTTAAAGTAATTGTGTTTCTGATACAGTCAACCGCTTGAGTGTTAACCTTGCGTAAAGTCAACAATTTGGGGCTAAATCCTAAGATGAATTCCATTCAAGAAGAGATATTGCGCCTGAGCAAGTGGTGTACACACCTCCAATTACATATTATGAACTTTGTTCTTTCATAATCTTTTGTTTAGGTGACAACTTCAGAATTATACTCCCTGAAATTGAGATTACATCTTGTTTATTACCAGGTACTTTGTAATTTTGTAGCTGTCATCTTCAATTTTCAATGGCCAGTACATGTAGTGCAATGGATAAAGTTTGCTCAAAGTCAACACTTTTTTTCTGTCCGGGGTATTGACCTTATCAGAATTCCACTGTAACTTGTTTTGTTTAAATTAAAGTGCTTTTGTCATAGGCATGAGTCTCAATTGTTTCCTTTTTATTAGTAAGAAAGTGTGTATGCAATATTTTCATTGAATGATTGACTCTAATTGTGAGGCAGCGTGGTGAAATCAGGTGCTCGTCAAAATAATGAAAGTGAAAAAAACTGGCATTTTTCCGCAGGTTTGGGAACTTTTATTGAATTTTCTTTTCGCGCTAAACAACTTTTACGTCCATACTGATAGACGTTCATTACATGCACAAAATTTGTGATTTTTCAGTTTTAATGGCTCTCAAGCTATTGAAGTCATCAAACTTTGGCGGCCGTTTTCTCACTAAATTTACCTCTGAAATCAGGTGACCCCACCTCTTTCAATCAAAAATATTTCGACTTCTATTCAGCATAGATGAATATTGTTTTCATCAAAAGGAAGGCAAATGGACAGGCTTTAAGATGATATCAATAATTCCGTATGTCTCAAAATCAAAACTGACGAGCGCTTGATCCCACAATGTCGTGACACCTAGATATATTATTTTTTAGTGGATGTATGTGCATGTATGTGTGCATGCATGTTTTTCATGAATACTATGCAATGCACATAGAGCAATGATTGTTTTACTGATTTGCGCGATATTATTTTTATCATTATAAATGAACAATGTAATATTACGGGGGGGGGGGGGGGGGGTGTAAGGGTAAATGTAATAAAGGTGTAAGATTATATTTGAACAGCCCCTTATCGCGCAAGCAAACCACGTTGCCAAGAACATGATTTGGCCAAGTAAAGACCCATGCTAGAAATAGAACACAAAGGTAGCCTCGTAATTGCGTCGGCACTTTGTCTGAAATCAGGGGCGAAGGCTGACTTGTTTGACAGGGTAATCAAAGTTAAACGGGACCAGATCAGATATGGCCTGGAGCTAGGCGAAGTGTGTAGGCTCAGGCCTGGAGATATCACATAAAAATCTTTCTCGAGGCGGCGACTCTGAGTTGTGAATGAAAACAAATCCGGAATTCACATTGCATGTTCAACCGCCAAAATAATCGGGAAAGTATCTTATGAAATATTAATTCCAACTACAATTAAATTTAACTTTAGATGTGATACACAAACACAAAGCAAAGAAGTAGAGATGTCAGTACTAGATCTGTATGTTATAGATCTACCCGTGAGTCTAACTCTTTGGTAGAACATGACAAATATCCTTTTTTTAAATTTCACATTTGGCTGTTTTTAGAGGTGGGCACAGAATTCTACACTTGTGTAGAATTCTGTGGAGGTGGGCAAAATCCGGATAATCTACAAGGATAACCGAATAATTCTCAATGAAACATTATCCGAATTCAGACTCTTAATTCTCTTTCCTGACCCGTTTGCCGAAGTGGGTGCACCCATTTGTTGAAGTTATGCTAACCCGTTTGTCGAAGTGGTTCTAACTAGGCCAGGGCAAGATC